ATCCTGTTGGTAAACCGATGCAGCAGTTGCAAATTCAATTTAATTTGCAATTCTGATCCGGATTCGCTAGAAAAATAAGTACTGGCTTCTTTAAAAGGAACATCTCTTGTATAGTATGTATCTGTGACATGCTGACCACCGCTTGAAGCCGTCTTTTATAGACTTTTGAAGTGGTGGAGGTAGAAAACATTTTCGCTAAGGTCAAAAACGAGGATAATTCACCTCATTCGAAATATCGAAAATTTGTTGAAGCCGCAATCGTTTGATTGCGCATTTAAGAATTTCTGTCTATCTGTATACTGCGGGACTTTCGTTTAATGGTCCGGCTGTATAGAATTCATTCTAAAATTTTTGCATTCGGTTTTGGCTGAATCAAGGGTTTGGTAAATTACGGTTTGCGGATATGTTTTAAATTCTTTCCATCGCTTTGTTACCACTCGACGCAAGTGAAATACGCCATTCTAACATACCTGTACTAGTGTATTTCAATAAAAAAGTTCCGGCAAAGGGACTGTTTCTAGGCTACTTTGGACAATTTCATGCCAGACAAACCCCAGAATCATAAAATAACATGTCACCGTTTCTATCAATTGACGCCCTTAAAAGCCCATATTTCGAGTTGCAGCAGTTCTGGACGCACTGACGTACATGGGCATCTCGTTTCACAGAACGTTTGGAATCGTATAGCCATATTTCCAAGAACGATTTCATACTTTAATACTCAGTACCGGCGTTAAGTCTTTAGCTAATCGACTAAAAACTTGTGACTTCAGCGAAATTGCTTCTACTTATAGTTAACTTCATTCGCAGCTTAAAACTCCCGTCAGCCACAAATTCAACTTCACAAATTTGAAGTTGGCATGTAGCCTTTGACTCGAGTTTAAGTAAGGTGTTTCTAAATTATTCATTGCGATGGTTAACGCATTGAACCGAAGCTTTAAGATTTTCGACCAGCGCACCGGCGAGGTCTATTCGCGGACGAGGCAATTAGCGAGCACCATGAATTTATTTATGATCACTGCCACTGTGATGCCGATGTATGTGCAACCGTGATGAGGAATAACGTAACTTGTAATTGAAAATGATTGCCAGGATGTTTCAGGCGCGATTCCAAATCATAATTTCCTTTTTTTGGATTGCATCTATATAACATGTTCACCGCTTTTAATACAGCAAATAATTAAGAAATGATATGATTTAATTTGCTTATTTCCTTGTCGGTACTAACATCAAGCTTCCTTGCATGTTCAGTGACGATTTTATTAAGAACCAACCACATGACGACATATATTGTTCGAGTACCCGGCAACATGAATTGTGAATATTAAATTGAATTGTGAATATTGCATCGTGGTGAATATAGGGCATTATATGAAAATTCACATGGTAGCGCTGATTTGAAAAATGGTTACGAGTTATGCAAATGCATACGTTGTCTTTTGAGCAATGTATCCCCTTGAAACTATCAGTTGTGCGGCGTGCGAACTAATGTAATCCATTTATGCGTCATTTGTTATCGTCCAAGTTGCACTACGTTGAAAGAAACTTTAGGAATGATCGTGAATCGAACCAACGATGATCACGCACGCGTGTCCGCACCGTTGTCGTAGCATTTATCAGAATAAGCCATAAAGTTCACCACACAACCTAACACTGAACGAACGGAAAACCTTTCCAGAATGTTATTGAGATAAAAATATTAGTGTGAATTATACGGAGTAACCCTACTACTGTTATCATAGACTTTCCAATAGAAGAGCTACTACCGAGTGCGAAATATTTCATCGAACAGCACTTAAAGGAAAAACGCGACAAGGCCACTCACGCTTGCAAAGACTACCATAACTCATTACTACCAGACATATCTACATAATCAACTTGTAAAAAAAACTTAACTTGGCTACAATCTGATCAAAGAAGAATTGCCTCTTTACTGAAAAATGAGAATTTAACAAACTTGAGACTATTCGATGTTCTATGCCTCATAGTAGTTGAGGATAATACGAAACAAAATTAAACACCGTTAATGAGGTTAGACTGATAAAACGCACTTTAACATTTCTCCGGTAAAACAGGACCAACGCAGTCAAAACATGAGGGTACGACTGACGCCGGTCAAAAAATAATACTTAAAATAGTACACCGTACAAAATCAATCACATACACTGTACACAGTTTTCAGATCAGGAATACGAGGTCGAAGCTTCGGGTTTTTGGAATCAATAATTGCCGGGTGCGTGACCTCTGGCGGTCGTGCTGATCGGGTGAATCGCTACGTCGAATTTGCCGTCGAACCAGTTACGCCATCGAATGACTCAATTCGGCTGTCCCAAAAGCGTTTGAGGGTGAGGGCGAGGGCTGGGCGCTGGCCGACTCCAGCACCGATCCATAATTGGCATTCCACAGGCTGTTCACCTTCATTGCTAGTCGCATGCTCCGCGACGTGCTATCACCACCACCGTCTCGCTGACCATCGTTGCCTACGACAGATGTCTGTAAGTCTTCCACTCCCGCTTTCAGGGCCTCGTTAGGGAGACAAACGCTGCTTTCGTTCTCTAAGATACTTCTACACAGAGCGAACGGATCTAACAACGGCGGAGTCTCTTGCGCTCCCGCTTCGTCGGTGTCAACCAGCTCCGTTTTGACCACCACGCCAAACGTCGTTTTGCCGCCGTTCAAGCTGCAAGGCACGTCATTCGGGTACAGACCGGAAGAAGATACGTATTCGCCGGTTGACGCTAATGACGCTCGCTCTTCCGGCTCTCGTTTAAGTATACGCCGTGACGTCGAAGGAATGTCTTCCATGTTCAGCTGATCAGCAGACAAAGACACCT